ACTATCAGTATCCGAGACCCCACAGAAATCGACTGGTTCGTTCGGTGTCTCCCTGTACCAATGTTTATGTGTTTAAATAAATAAGTGCGCGTGACTGGCCTATAAACAGGTTTCATTCATAAGAGGTGAAACACATCAGTAGCCTAATTTTTTAAGGATATATATATATATATATATATGAGTGCACATACAGTCGATTCGCTTCGTCAATAAACTAATTTTATCATTGTCTTTTAATTCGAGCAGTCAGTTGAGGCTATTCTTAAGAGGACTGTGTATCAGTATCACACTCAAACACCGCACGCCACAGAAGCGCTAGATTTGTGTTTTATAGTTGCTAACATTCATTAAAAATCTACATGAGGTACGTCCTTTAATTGACCATTAGGTGGCAAACCATGTATTATCAAATAATTATGCTATTAAAGTTCTAGATAAGTTAACTGGCTCAATTACAACCAACAGGTTGTCTCTTGTTTTCTAAATGCATCACATGGAGCTTCGGATCTTCAAATAAATTTTCGTTTACTAAGAATCGATATGATCTCTTCTTACTTGCCTCGCCTATCAGTTTCAGTTCACCGTGATATCTGATCGCTTATCTTAGTAGTCGAAATCTAGACATGCAGTCGCTAAAATCGAGGACTGATTATTCTACATCCCAGCGAAATAGTGATAGGTCAATGTTTGGGCCGCTCGACTTTTAGTTGCAGGTCTCTATATTCGAAGCCCGCTTCGTAAACTTCAGTTCGTACATTTGGCTAATGCATACATGTATCTCAGGCAATCTAATGCTAATCTGCGTCAATATCATCATTAGATTGCCTAAGATATATATGGCATTCTGTAAGCTACAAGATCTTTTTTGTTTTCTGACCCGTCAATTGTGGTTACTCAAATGAGTCATAAATTACCTTCCTGCACAGCAAACATTGGGGGTTCTGTCAACATAATGATTAGGTATCGTATATAAGTTTTCAAGCTTGGAACAGCGTTTGTTTATTTAAACACAAACATTGGTAAAATGTGGCACCAAATATATATGCGCTACATAAATCATTCGATTTGTGTGAGAGCTGGTATACTGCCCAGGCGCTCAAACCGAAGTAGGTCATATCTGCAAATCTATGATGCATTTGCCATAATCCAGAAACTAAATGCTTATTTAAAAGAAATGAAGACATAAAACAACAACCAAAAGAAGAATAGTTAGCCATACCCATAATATATTGGGTACTTCACTACTTCCGAATTATACTATAGCACTATGGTCTAGGAATGATATTATCAAAAGCTCTTCAATAAATAATTATGATTTTATAGTTTATGACTTAATTATTTATTTATTTGAACACAGATATTGGCACAAGGGGGCACCAGATACATATGCGCCACACAAATCAAATTAGATTTGTGTGAGAGCTGTGATAATGCCCAAGTGCAAGTGGTTTTCTTAGGGAGCCACACCCGGAGCCCTTCATCTGAAGGCCTAATCCACAAGGCAGTGGAGCAACGCAAGGAAATGCAGTCCCATGGTAGTCAGTGACAAACGATTGGTCCATGCGCCATTTGTTCCCTCAGGATACTGGACCCCATGTGCACTATTGGTTTGAAATTGTTGTAACGGGTGTGACTGCAGGTTTAGATACGCAGCGTTTATTTATCGATCGCTACTGTGACAGTGGACATGTAAAACACGTACGGACGACCTAGTGCCCTGATTGGCCCTGCCTCGCTGTCTGTCCCTAGCCAGTTGAGTCAAGAACAAAAGTCACAGCCTCGGAGTTATGAATCATTATATTTCAAACATACACTATTTATATACCAAGCAAACAAACCACATCGTACCACAAAGTAGAAAATAACATTGTACAATATTGGCCAACAGGAAAATAACACATTAAATAAATATCGACCAATGGGAAATGTACATTTAAGGTCCAAGGACACCAATGGACTTAACATCATAATTATTGGTCTATTTTTCCGACTATCCTAACACCTCCCCTTTTTCGAATGATCCGGAGTTCATATCTGCATTTTAAAATTTTCTGGGTTCATCCTCCCCCGCGAAATAACGTTGGGTCCTCATATACCCAAGCAACAATCAGTCTGATACTATTTAAAGCATATTTCGCGCATTGAGTAGAGGGTTCACTAAAACTGATTAGATGAGGATTAGCGACACCAGACATGAGGTCATTAAGGTTTGATTCTTGTGCAACATATTCTTCAGACCTCTTCAAAACTCCATCAGTGGGTAATAGGTCACCAATATAAACAGCATCTTTGAAATTCGTATTGGATTTCTGACCATTATTTGATGCACGGGAAACATTTTCTGGCACGAGGGGTTCTTCTTGTAAGTTGGATACCTCACATGTTTCAGGCACAGTGGGATTTGAACCCACAACAGGGCATGCTTCTGAATTGGGCACTTCTGGATCGCTGGACGGATTATGAGCGACTGCCTCATTTGCACTACTGATCATAAGGGATTCATAGAGGCTTTTGTTTTCATCTTCATATGTCCTGCAGTCATTCTCGAGTTCAGTATGCAGGTGAGAAATTAATTCGTCAACCTCTTTCACATCTCCGAAACACGGGAGATTTAGCAGTCGCGTGCGCATATAGTCCAAAACTTTCAACTGGCTCTCTCTGTAACGATCTAGTAGTATCTGCAATTGATCTGAGGGGATAGTCATTTTCTGAATCAGCAGAGTAATGAGAAATACTGTAATCAATTAACAACCAATGACTCCCAAGGACGCTGACGATCAGTCTGAATGCTGATTGGCCAAAATAAATAGGATGAATCTCGTCCAATTACAGGGTTCAAAATTTTCTCTACCCCGTCGCCAATTGTTGTAACGCGAAGTGTGACTTCAGGTTATGATACACAGAGTTATTATCGATCGCGATCTGTGACAGTGATACGTAAACATGTAAACTTGTAAGGATGACCTAGTGCCCTGATTGGCCCTGCCTCGCTATCTGTCCCCAGCCAGTTGAGTCAAGAACAAAAGTCACAGCCTCGGAGTTATGAATCATTATATTTCAAACATACACTATTTATATACCAAGCAAACAAACCACGTCGTACCACAAAGTAGAAAATAACATTGTACAATATTGGCCAACAGGAAAATAACACATTAAATAAATATCGACCAATGGGAAATGTACATTTAAGGTCCAAGGACACCAATGGACTTAACATCATAATTATTGGTCTATTTTTCCGACTATCCTAACAGAAATCAAGGTTTCCCTACTCCCCTAGGTGGACTCCTCGTGTCCACCAACCCGTTTGAAGCATCGGACATTTGCTTTTCGTCCTCTCAATTTCGTAAACAAAAGTAATGCCGCGAAAAGGTAGTGTGTAGGACTTCCCTGACAGTGGTTGTTCACATGTGGCCATGTGAGAGCATTTCGAGAGAGAGTGGAAGCTCCCCACTATCGGTCGTACCAGGGCATTTGAGGGCCATGACTTAATACATCTTATACGATAGTAAGTACTGAGATGCAATCTATATTTTTTCTAGAAAAATCTAGTACATACTCTGTCTATTGTTATCAAATGATATAAATAATGTTTTACAGAAACTTATATTGTAAAAAGGCCCCCAAATGCCCTGGTACGGCCAAGAGTGAGGAGTCCGTTCTCCCTCTAGAAATGCTCTCACATGGCCACGCGTATGTAGCCTCTGCCAGGGAAGTCCTACTCACTGCCTTCTCGTACCACGGGTGTTGTTTACGAGAATGAGAGGACGAAAAGCAAATGTCCGATGATCTAACCAGATTCCAAACCAATGGTGCACATGGTCTCCAGTATCCTCCGGGAACAAATGGCGTATGAACCAATCGTTGGTCACCGGCTACCATGGGACTGCATCTCCTCACGATGCTCCACTGCTTTGTGGATTAAACCTTCAGGTCGAGGGCTCGGGGAGTGGCCCCCTAAGAAGACCACCTGCTTCGTTTTGGGCACCCGGACAGTATCACAGCCCTCACACATATTGAATGAGATTTTTGTGGCGCCTATGTATTTGGTGCCTCCTTGTACCAATATCTATGTGTTAAAATAAATAAATAATAATACTGTAAAAAGAAGAGTTGATACAGATAAAGAATCCAATGATTCATTTTTTTTTATTCCATATTTCCTAATCAATAACTTAATAACACCAGAATGAACAAAATGTAATCGAACTCTAGAGTGAACACATTTACTTTTATAGCCTACACTATAATCATGTACAATGGTTAGAGACCCTGAATGACATGGCTCAAAATGGTTTGCAATGGTGCAAGTGCATCCACTCTTTGTGTTCTCTCAAATTCTAATCTCCTGATTCCTCCTTGTCTCTTTTTTCCTCTTCCCAAATTTACTTCACTGGATTATACTCTTTAAATAACATCTCCAAACCCTAATGTTTCCGATTACTGCTTTTACTCTTACTACCTCTACCACTACAGGATTTGAATCGATAACTGCATCTCTGTGCTAATGTGGTACGTACGTACGAAGTTCTACGTTGTTATTGACTGACTGACTGACAAGAATAAATCCCACTCATTAGCATTATTATATAATGTACAAATAATATCTGAATAAATATACAGGATAATTATAAAAGTTGAACAAAAGAATGAATAGTACAAAAGTTAATATTGTGTATGTTGACTTAGTGTATGTCGTAGTAAATTATTTTCATGTTTCATTTGATTAATAACATTATGAAACTCTTTACACATTTGATCAAGTTTACATTCTAATTTAGTAAATTTAAATAATAATTCATTATGTGACCAATTCAATTGAGACATCATAGATTGAAGTTTAACATTGAAATATTGTTCTAACCATTCATTTGTAACATGAATTGAATTGACATTTAAAGGATCATTAAGATGATGACAATCGGATTTTAATTGTTGATTAATGTTTACAACATTAACATCTATATTAGATTCTGGTCTTAATGATACAGTTTTCTCTACATTATCGATATTCACTTCTGACCAATTAGATTTTATAGAACCTTGATCAGATGATGGAAACATACTGGAATTTGAATGTAATGAAATGTCTGGTACGGAAAACTCACGAAATAATGATACCCATGTATCAGGTTGATATTTAGGTATAATATTAGTTACTTCATGAAGTGGTTGTTTTGATGAACTCAGTAGTGTGTCTGTTGAATTTCCATACAATTTCGCATCAAGGTTCTCGTCCTGTAAACTTTCAAGCCAATTGGATTTTGGGGAGTTAAACTTAACTTGGTCACTAGTCCGATAAACAAAAGAGAACGAAAGCAAGCTTATTGGAACATTCAATCCTGAGGAAACACAACGGATAGGTGAAGTAAAATCAGGTATATTATAAAACCAAATATTACCATTTGCTAAGCCAGTTGCAAGAATGTTTGTGTCCAAAGAGACAGCAACACTTAAATATCCATGTTGTTCATCAATCGGTGACAACGTTTTTATTGGTAATAATTTAAGTACAGCCGCTTCCCACATACGTAAATTCATATCCGGTGCTCCTGCAGTAAAAAATCGTCCACCAATTGACAAAGCCATATCCATGCAGTATTCACAGTTATTCGTGTTTATCGTAGTGGATAGAAAAGATTTAGGATCCCAGCGACAAAAAATTAACTTCTCTGTAGGCCTAACAACAGGCCAGTCTAAATACCATATAATAATAGATCCATCAGAATAACCACAATATAACCAATCATTGTTTCTTCCGCAAGTTCTAAAAATATTACATGCAGGTGTAGGACTGTTGTTTTCGGGATATGAAGGAAATGGTAATATGAAATTCTCACATTCACCTGTAGACGTACCAGACGCAGCTAAAAATAAGACAATAGATCCATTACTATATCCAGCAGCAACAACACGGTCCTTTAAAATCCAGATGACACACCTAAGCTGCATTTCATTGGAAGATGATCTTTCAGAATTATTACTGAAGCGTAACTGCGAATAAAAAGAAATTTGTTTTTGGCATTTGTATAAATTTATTGGACCAGCACTAGTCCCAACAGCTAGATATCTTCCTGATCTTTGCGGAAAAGCTATGCAAGTTGCTGTGAAACTATGTGATAGCAAACTGAAAGTACTTATATCTGATGCGTTTTGATCATATACATGATTTTTGCCAGTATACAGACGTCGAAAGAAAATAGTAGAACCAGAATTGTCAATAACAGCTAGCTTACAAGACCGAGGTTCCCACTGAATCGACCGTAGCGAACACGTTACTGTCATTTGAGGCTTGTAAGTCAAGGAAGGAGAATCAGGGATCTCCAAGTTACGGATGCCTGGATTTGACAATGACGATTCAAACACATTCTTATCATATCGTACGGACCAAAAATGGACTGAAGAGTTTTGTACAGCAGCAAGATACATGCATTGGTCCATAAAAAAAGAATCCCTATAGGTAGAATAATAGTTCGATTAAAATGATTAGCTGAATAAGTGTCAAACTACAGAAAAATGCAAAATTACTCGTTTTGTAGATTTTTAAACTATTAACTGACAATTGAATTGAATTTAAATTAAACCTAATACTATAGGAAGGTATATTTGAGAAGAAAACAACATTCATATTTTTATCAACGAAAGTAGTCTGTTTTCACATTATTAACTTATATTGTAGATTTTTAAATCAAGTTGCTCCAAACTAGTGTATGACCCAATCTTCCTATTTTGTAGATTTCCCCAGTCATGTCAATTCGTAGTTTTTTTTCTCCTAAATTCTGGAGAAATACTAGAAAAAACTCAAAATTTCCTCAAACGATTAAGAGATTCCCACGAATAACTTGAAATTTTTAGAAAAAATACCCTGACCAGGAAGACTTTTGAGGGTTTGTGTCACATTTCCCTAAGATTTCCTGTTGCGAATCCTCCAAAATTCTATCAAAACTAATAAAATTTCCTACAAAATAGGGTGATTGAGGACAGCTGTTGATATTAAACGCAATAATATGGTTATTTCTTATAATATCTACCTATACATTTATTATTGACATATATTTTATAGTATCAAAGGACCGAAGTTCATTACCATGTATAACTTACATCGATTTGGTCAGACAACGACTCAGTGGCATCGTTCATTGATGAAGGTTGCTGAGCAGTCAGTCAACTACAACGTAGGACCAGGGACATTTATGCATCGTTCCAAGTTGTCATACCGCATTAGCACAGCAAGATGAACATCGGATTCATACGAGTGAGTGGTTAAGTCAATGGTGGTAATATATAAAAGAAATATTGCATATAAGGATATAGTACAGGAAGAAAGAATTAGTTCGTAGAAAGAAAGATATGGGGCGATATTAATCTCTTAGTTTAAGGGAGGACAGGGAGTGTATGCACCTACGCCATTGTGATCGATTCTGAGCCATGTCACCCAAAGTCTCCAACCATTGGTTACGATAGTCACGCGGACCCCAACCAAGTAGTCTGCATCTACCAACATGGCTCAGATTAGAAGTTAGTGACTTCACTGACTGATGCCACGTTTTGGTTTGGCCACCCCTAACTCTCTTCCAACCATCTCCAACACTAGTGAGCATTGCACGTCATGATAATCGGTGTTCAGGCATACGTAACACATGGCCCAACCATCTCAGTTGATGAAGATTCACAATTTTATCAGCTGACTTAACATCATCATTCCCTGATACCCTACGTCTAACCTCACTATTACTTACGCGGTGATCCCAACAGACGCCAGCAATATTTCTAAGGCATCTGTGGTCAAATACTAGTAGCTTACGACTATCTTCTACTGTTGATGGCCACGTTTCACTGCCGTTAAGTAGAACAGAACGAACTGCCGTGCAGTATACTCGTCCTTTTATTGATAGACGGACATTTCGCCTTTGCCATAGGTGAAGTAAGTTGGCAAAAGTCAAACAAGCTTTTCGAATCTGTGCTGAGATTTCGTCCGATACCAACCCACTAGGGCTGACCAGACTTACAAGATAAGTGAAGTTGTCAACGCGTTCGACTACTTCACTCCCTATCCTTAGTACAGGTGTAGATGCAGACCAGTCCTGAAGCAACAACTTGCATTTAGAGGGAGAGAAACGCATTCCAAATATTCTGGCATTGTTGCTCAGTGCTACCAAAAGACTCTGCATTTTATCAGCGTCTTCACCAAGAAGAGGACTATGTCATCTGTGTATTCCAAGTCGGTAAGTGGACCTCCTGGAAGGAGATCAATACCCGAGAATTCAGTCGACGAGAATGTTATTTCCATCAATAGGTCTATGATGAAGTTAAACAAAAATGGAGAAAGTGGACAGCCTTGACGGACACCACTTGAGGTCGCAAAAGTAGATGACAGTTCGCCATAAGCTCTGACTCGACTAGTAGTGTTCGAATAAAGAGCTTTTAGTCTTACCGCTCTTCAACCGACCTGTCTGACATGGTAGGACCTTGAGGAACGGTTGGTCCAGCCAGTATAGCTCGGTTGCTTCATCACGATAGGCAAGCCCAACCACCACGTCAAGGTAGCAACAACGGTCGGGGAGTAAGGAGCCTTCACAAGGTTTATGTACTTCTGAGGTACACCTCTCAATGACAGACACTGCCACAGAATCTCGCGGTTTACGGAGTCAAATACTGCCTTTAAGTCAAGAAAGACCACCATTGTTGGCCGCCGATAAGTATGTCTATGTTCTAGAACCTGACAAATGGTGAATATGTGGTCGATGCAGCCACGACCAGGTCTGAAGCCAGCTAGATTCTCTTGTGTTTGCAGTTCACGAGTCCTAGTTAGGCGTCCGATAATTATCGAGGCTAGTATTTTAGATACCATAATAGTTAAACTAATCCCTCTATGGTTGTCACAGAATGATTTTGACCCTCTCTTATATATTGGGACGATAAGTGATTGTGACCAGTCAGATGGGATAACGTCCAACTCCCAGATTTTAGCTAAAATATTAGTCAACCTAATGGTTAAAACGGCAACGACATGTGTCCCTATCCTTCCGAGGTCTTACGGAGCCGTTTGGCCGAACGGCACATAAACGACCGTTAACGGGAATCCACTCTAACAGTGCTTGTTCCGCCCTCATGCTTAGTGCTACGCCTACACCTGCCAGTTCACGGGAACTAGCCATTGGGTCGCCAGATACACGGAGGGTATCTCGTCGGCTCTCCGTTTTGCCGAGGTGAGGTTAAGTGAATAACCACACTGGAATCCTGTATGCGTGTTTCGGAGATACAGCATACATCAATGGTACGAGATTCTAGAGTTTTAGCCAAGGAAGCCCGCTGATCGATTTGACATAAGGTGCGTAAGTTGAAGGCTCCAATGTGTAGTTTGGAGCGAGGTTTCAGCAGACCTGGGAGAGAGTTTTGAGCACTAGAATCGTTGGCTATGGTGACACTTGAGGAGGAAGCCGAAGGAGGAATTTTAGAGTTGAAAGTCGATGTAGGAGGAATAATAGGAATTGAAGAGGAAGGTTGATTATGAATACAGTGGTCTTGAGTGTTTTTAGAGGTATGAGGGCGGCTATCACTTCCCGGTTGCCCACACCGTGGAAGGGTTCTTCTGGAGGTACCGGAAAAAGAAATTGGGTTAGGGGTGATTTTAGTGACCTGAGAGCGTGACCCCAGTGACCAAGGGACAACCGATTGAGGTCAGTTACACACTAACGTTTTGCGAGTAGTTTTCGTGTTAGCTCCGTACTTTTTGAGACCTTACCGTCGGAGACGGATATCCGTGGGATAAAGCGAGGTATGCATTTTTAGGATCGACCTTTTCTAACGCCACCCCCTGTCGTGGTAGTATCGCTGTTATGCTGGTTGTCTGAAGGAAACACTACTGCTGTCACACCTCTGTACAGTCAGCAGTACGACTTCGTCTTCGGACCTCGGGTTTGTTGTTTTTAGTCTTACCGCTTTCCAACCGACCTGTCTGACATGGTAGGACCTTGAGGTTTTCGCGCACATGTAATATATTGTGGATTTTTTGTGTCGTTATATCAGCTATAATAGCCTTTTTTCTATCACACGTCAATTTTCGTAATGTTTGTGCTTGTTACAGTTTTTGTTCCAATTTATTAGCAGTTTGACGTATTTGTTGCTCACCACCTAGGTGAATCTTTAGTAGGCCTAATATGGTTATTTGTAACAATACAAACTCAAGCAAGTAAAATTCACCACTTTCCAAGTCAAAAAATAGATCACAGATTGAGTTTTCAGAAAAATAAGCTTTAAAACCTATTCCATATGGTTTACCTCCTCGACTTAGACTTCAGATGCCACAGATTAGTTAAAGTCCTTACGGCTTTTTATTCATTGTCAGACCTGCTGATTTACGTTACGACCAAACGTGCAATGAAACACCACAGACAAGTATTTATATCTCATATCCTTCAACAAATTACTTTCTGCGTGAACATAGTGCGTATGAATAATCTGAGAAGACATAGAATTATTCTTCCATACTTTATGGAAATCCTTTAGCGCACTATCTAATTCACTCCAGCTTCCGAATCGCTTGTTCAGCATTATACGTTGAAACACCTCGCTTACGTTCACTGAAACTTCACTTGAGCATGAAGCACTACAGACGACACGCATTAATTATTAAAAAGTTACTTCTTGAAAAAAAAACTAACTGAAAGAAGTACAACAAATATTTAGGACTTACCGTGGAGTTGACATTTCGTCTTAACTTCTTTGTTTAACAGCGACTCACGGAAACTCGGCGTATCTGTAACTTTTAACGTTATCTTATCTTTCTTACGTCATTTTCCGGACCTTATCAACAAATTATATAAAGGTGTTGACGTTTACTACAGCAGTTAAGATCACAGATCAAGTTACGAAGCAACAACAGAGCTAACGTGTACACTACAAAACAGAGAATGTTAAATTAATGCTCTTAGCAGTCTTTTATGCCTTTTCATGCAGCAAAAGATGAATTAAATATATTAAAAAAAACTTAGTACTCAACCCAACAATATGTTACACGTGCGCGAAAACCCGTAAACTAACACGCATAGTGTGCCAACTCACGGGGATTTGAAATACGGAATGACCGCCTCTTTCAGGCCGTTCAAGGTCGTAGAAACGAAACGGTGGACAGATTTGAAGGAGCTTACCTCTTTTACCTTGTCCTTGATTTGACTTCAGCCATACTGCATCTGATAGCCTCCATCCTTCGAGTAACTAAATTGATGACATCATAGTGCTGCATGATATAGGACAAATCTTCAGTGACATTATGCTATACGACGATTTACTAGATGGAATAATTTCGAGACGGTCTCGATCCACGTGGATCTAATCGAAAACAATATTGTTCGCCTATATATGTTGTTATAAATTTACAATATGGCAAAAACTAAGGTTTATGTACCTCTCCAAATCCCGCTCATCATCACCTTGACGGTATATGTTTTATTCAGATTTGTGTAGTAAGGCCAGAAGGCCTACGGTGTGTTATTCCTTTTCTAGTATGCTACTTTGTGTGTCCACTCTCCTCTTGAGTGAGTCAATTGAAGGTTCGGGCACCACTGCTTCCGGTAATAGGTTTCAAGTATTGATGACTCGATGTGAAAACCTGTGTAGGGACCTACTTTTATCAAGAGAACGCGATCGGTTTAATAGAAAAAATCATTATTATAACCAATTGTACCGGTGATTGTTTTACTGTGCTCGTTTGTTTAACTGTGCTAAAGACAGCCATTACTCCTCCATTACTCTCTTCCGTGAACTGTGACCTTGTACGCTTGTACTCTCACCCACTAATTCCGCTTGACACGATCTCGGTATTCTTCCGATACTACGAGATCGCCAACGAAATAAGTCTGGTTACGGTCCCTTCTCGCCTTCTGGTTTTTCTGGTACGCGCTCTTCTTGTAGTGGTGTTTATAGTCAACCACGACTCGACACCACACTACTCCAGTATTCCACTGGCATTTTTGTTCGTTCTTGGCTCTCCTACTCGCCTGCTATGTCCTCTGAGATGTCCCGATCTAGTGGGAAGAAAAAGATAATATGTTATGTCCAAGATCATTTCTCAGTATTTTGTACATCAAAATTAGATTTCCCCATAGTTTGGGATAGGACAGAGTAAATAGGTCCAGCTTTTCCACTCGCCCTTTGTATGGTAAACCACGGAGTTCTGGAATTGCATAGGTCGCTGCACTCTGTACTCTTTACTGGATGTTCGAGTCACCTTTTAAACAGGAGCTTGCAGCTTGAACACAGTTCTCAAGCTTAGTTCTCACTAAGGATGTGTATACTGCAATGAACATGGTATTATCTGACTTAGCAAATGTCCGTTCTGAAGCCCAAAGGGTTCTAAACCCTTTAGCTGCGACCTGCCGACAATGGGCCGTCGTCTTAAAATCATGACTCACTGTCACCCCTAGATCCTTATGAGACCGGACCACGGATACAGGCACTTCCTCTATGTTGTACCTAATAATCTTTGTATCCCCAAAGTTCATACAGACAATTGCGCGTTGATAGGCATCAGCCACGCTTTAGACCAGTTAATCACATTATTTAAGTCCACCTGAAGTGTACATGCGTCTTCGTCTCCGGTTATTACTCGCCAGGTTTTTTACATCGTCAGCGTATAATAACATTGGCGACTGTACCATACTTGGGAGATCATTTACAAACAGTATATAAAGTAAAGGACCCAGGACAGAACCTTGAGGTACTCTACTAAGTACTGGTCTCCAGGTGGAGCACGTCGAATTTATTCTTACTTTCTGTCTACAACGTACCAGGAAATCCTTAAGTCATTTCAAAAGAGGCCCGGCAATACAAAGATTTTCTAACTTCAATAGCAGTCTATTATTTGGGACCTTGTCAACTACCTTACTGGAGTCTATGTAGACAACATCCACTGATTTTCCGTTGTCTAGCGCCTTTACCTAATATTCCCTTGCTATAAGGAGGTTCGTTGTACAAGATAAACCCTGTAGTGGCATTGGACCATAACCATACAATCTTCAAAGCTGAACACAAGACTACTCAGAAAATAGATATTCAATATTTAAACACAGAGAAATACCTAAGAATGGAGAAGGCGCCAACAGCGAGACTAGCCAAGAAGAACGGTGATCTTAGACCCCGTCTAATGAAGATAACCTTCCCATCTTCCCACATGGCGGCTGCAGTTCTGGAAGCATTTCGTGCTAATAGACGTCGATTGCCACCTGGAATCCACATGCACCCGGATAGGCCATACGAAGTTAGGACCAAGAACAAAGGCAAGTTGGAGCTGACCATTCCACTTGTGGACTGTCTAAACGATAAAAAAACGTGTAAAGGACAGGGCCTACCACCTCGGCAAACCTCATATAGGTGGGCTACCTGTCCATTCACATAAGGTTCATACAGAAAAACAGGACGAAGCTCACGCGTTCCAAATTGAAAGCATAAACTGCTTATATATGAACGCCGCGAGTCTACCAAACAAACTGGATGAACTACGTGAACTTAGCAACGCTAATAAGGCCCATCTGATAGGAATATCTGAAACCTGGATATCTTCTCAGTTCTCGGACCAAGAGTTAGCATTACCTGGGATGACTTTGTTCCGCAACGACAGAAAAACAGGAATTAGGGGCTGAGTAGCCATATACATAAGCTCTTGCTTGGAGGTGCACCAGATTCACAACCTCGAGTTTAACAATCTTGAGGAATCCATATGGTGCTCTGTAAGATTGTCTAGTACTTCCAGGTGTCTAGTCGGAGTCATTTACAGGAAGCCAACTGCCGACACCGAGTACGATAGTCGTATGCTGGAAGGACTATCACGCTCTATCCGTCTCGGTTTCACACACATCCTGATTCTAGGGGACTTTAATCTCCCTAGAGTCAACTTCGCGGAACACACGTACACTGGAGGCGACAACTCAACTGAAGCTCAGTTCTTCAACCTCATCGATAACTTGGGCTTATATGAAAATGTGAGGTCGGCAACTCGTTGGAGAAACAGTCAGACACCATCGCGCTTAGACTGTGTATTCACTAACGAAGAATTCCTAGTCGACAACCTCTCAATCCTGGCTCCTCTGGGAAAGAGCGATCATGCCGTCATAGCCTTCAGTTTTGTCATCAAAACTAAGCTAAGGTATCCCAACAATAATTTGCGTTGGAATTTTAAACGGCTGAATGTGCCAGCTCTACATGACTATCTACAACAGGTGGTTTGGGATGTTCACCCTCAACTCGATGTGGATGGTCATTGGGACTTCTTACTGCACACGCTCTTATGTGCTACAGACCATTCAGTTCCTCAAACGGTTCCCAAAAGCTGCAAGCCACCTACAGTAATCAAGAACCGTACCCTTCGCCTGCTAAGCCGCAAAAGGCACTGTTGGGCGGAATACAAACAAACTAATAACGATGGAGCATATGGGCAATATAAATATATCAGGAACATATGCACGAAGGCTATAAGAGAAGACAGGCTTCAGTACCAAACAAAGCTTATGGACAAATTCGCCTCTAACCCTAGAAGCCTATTCCGTTATGCAGCCTCTCTTCGTCAAGCCAAAACATGAGTTTCTCAACTGCTAGGTCTTAACGGCCCGACCAACAACGATGGTGACGCCGCTAACCTTCTGGCGGCACATTACTCTCAAACATTTCAACCGGCTGACATCAACTTTATTGACGACAGTTTCATCTGCAATTCCGCAGGACTTTCTGAAGTGGACCTAAGCGCTGACTTGGTGTTCCGGAAATTGCAGCACTTAAGACTTGACACTTCTCCTGGCCCGGATATGGTTCATCCTGCCATACTGAGGGAGGCAGCCTCAATCCTGGCAACGCCGCTTAGCGTGATGTTTTCACACTCGCTTAGCCGAGGCAAATTACCGGAAAATTGGAAGTTGGCTCACATCACACCAATTTTCAAAGGTGGTCGATGCAATGAACCTTCAAGTTATCGGCCGGTGGCTCTTCTGTCATTACCTTCAAAACTCATGTGGTCCCTGATATTCGACGGTTTGAATGACTATCTACTGTCCTTAAATTTCTTCTCACCCCAACAGCATGGTTTCAGGAAGGGTTACTCTTGTATAACCAACCTGCTGACTGCGGTGGACAGATGGACAAGCATCCTCGATTGCAAGGGAAAGGTTGATGTCATTTACCTTGATTTCTCAAAAGCTTTTGATAAGGTTAACCACTTGTGTCTTATCAACAAGCTCAAACGACTGGGTATCAAACCACCTCTAATCGATTGGCTTACTTCATACCTAAAAAATCGACACTTTAAGGTTAGGGTTAATTTCACTTTATCTCAGGCTATGGAATGTCCTAGTGGGGTCCCTCAGGGCTCAGTACTAGGGCCTCTTCTCTTCTTGATCTACATAAATGATCTTCCTCAACAGGTAACGTCAGACTTATTACTTTTTGCCGACGACGTGAAACTTTGGAGAGAGATACGCAACCAAGACGATACACAGGCACTTCAGGAGGATCTGACGCGACTTCAAAGTTGGGCAGACGATAACGGACTTACTTTGAACACTTCAAAGTGTAAAGTAGTCCATCTGCGACATGTCGCAAACTACAGTTACAACTTAGGAAACTCCTCTCTAGTAGTATCCCAAGTCGAAAAAGATTTAGGAGTCCTGGTGCTCCATGATTTAAAGTCTTACGCTAACTGTGACAAAAATGCCTTCCGAGCA